CGATTTCTTAATCTCAATAAATTGCAATTTTAAGATTTGCATTCAGGTGATGCAATTCTTTTGACCGCCACTGTATATGATTATCCTTTAATAAAAGTATTAAAAAAAGGAAACTTAATGATGATCAAACAAAACTTGATGATTATTATAATGATGATCAAATTAATGATCAAAAATTAAATGAATTAATCATGCATTCATTTGATTATTTGCATATTATGGCATCTCATTTCATATTGTTGACCATCTATTCTTAATTAATTTTGTAAAATTCTATGTTTTGCTTATAACTTTTCAAGCTATATAATGATATTAACTATTATTTTAAATGTAAAAGTAACAGAAGTTTTAGTTAATATTAATAAAATTCTTAAAAAAACAAAAAATCTTACTTTAGTAAAATTTCAATTTTTAATATTTTAATAATGTTTATTTTATAATAATTGAATTAATAATATTATTTTTTATAATAATTGATAGATAGATAAATTAACGTAAAAAATCCATATACACTATTATAATAATTATATCAGATTGCAAGAATTTTGCAACTATTGTAGTTAATAAAGAGGTAGCTATGCAGGTGGTAATTAGAGTAATCAATTAAAATTTCTATGGATTATTCTAATTCATTATGTTGCATATTTACTAAACCTTATTAAATCTAATATTATTAGTATTAAGTAAATAAAAGAAATCTTACAGACTTTAGTGAAAATAATTTCACTCAGTTTTTTAATAATTTATGTATAATTTTATAATAAAAAATCAAAAAAAATTTTGTTTTCTGAAAGATCAACCAAAATTACATATATTTATTAATTAATTAATATTTGATATAGTCTCCTTTTGCGTTAATACATACTTTAATACGACTTGACATACTATTAATGCAGTTAACTATTGTGATATTTTTAATATCATCTTATTCCTTTCTAATTAAATTTAAAAAAATTTCTTTTGAGATTTTTTTCCTTTGTGCTACCATTCTTTAATCTCTTTCTTAATATTTTTCTTTAAAATAGCCTAAACATTCTCAATAGGATTAAGGTCGGGACTATAGGAAGGTTAAGAAAGAACCTGACCTAGAAGGTGAGTTTTCAAGTCATCTTGAACATCACGAGAAGTATGTTTTAAATTATTATTTTGCTGAAAGACCCATCAGTTATCATGTATTGCACCTGCATTATCATATAAATATTCATTTAAAATTTGGCAGTATAAATGACGATCCAAATTTTCAATGAACATGTGTATACTAATTTTTCCTTTAACGCTGATTGCATCTTAAACATGAACTTTAAATAGGTATTTTACTATTAAAGTAATAGGTTTTTTGTTATGTAACTATACTGGAAGGGTATTACAGAATATTTGAAGTGTAATTTTATCAGAAAATACCACCTTTTTCTAACTATAATTCACATGATCACAGACCTAAAACAACCAGTTCTTTTTTGCTTTCTGTATCAAAAAAGAAACTTTTCTAAGACGAACAGATACAAATCCAAGATTTTTTAGCTCACGACAAATGATCTGTTCACTAACTTCAAGCTTTGGATTTTTTTCTTTAAGTTAGGCCTTTATTTCACTTGCTGTAGTGAAATAATTATGCTTGATGATCATTTCAATTTGGTAGTGTTTTTTAGGAGTCAATTTTCGTGGTTGATCAGAATGATAACCTATAGTAATCTTACCAATTTTCTTTAATGAACTAACATAATGATAACAGAAGCGTAAGGGAACACTTATTCTTTATGAAATCTCTCTTGCATTTCAGATTTTTCGCTGTTAACAGTATTTCAGTTTCTTTCAAAGATGATTAATACCATTTAAATGAAAAACATGAAGAAATTCATTTTTTCTACAACTTTTTTTTGTTTATTTATTAAATATTATTTATAAAGAATACTTTAGAAATACTGGAAAATTCTAGAGTGAAAATAAACATGCTATGACTCAAAAAACAAGCAGCACTTGTAATGCCATTACTTTCGTCGGTGACTGTAAGTAATTATTAAAAAAATAATTATATTTTTTGTTCTATATATCAAGTTAATGCAATATTTAATGATGAACTTAAATATAATCTGATTAGTAAAGGTAGTCTTAAGACTTCAGTTAAAACTCAGTAATTTCTGAGATTGTATTGAGCCAATTTTAAGATGTAAAACTGCAATTCAACAAGTAATTATTTATTTTGTATTTTATATACATAATTTTATTAATTATAATATATTTACTAATAATTGTATTATTTGTTTTACTATTTTAAGACATTTGAACAACATCCTGATATATTTAGATATATTAATACTATAAAAATAATTATATATAACCACTAATTTTGGAAATTTTAAGAAATATTCTTGTATCTGCAAAACAAGTTATAAAAGGAGTTAAATACAAAACTTAACTTTAGGATCAGTATATGTTAATAGCTATTAAGGAAATTCTAAACATTATATTAAATTTAAAGTTTAAAAGAAATTGTATTAATATTTACAATAAATGATGGGTATAATTTGATTCAAAGCTTTTATTCCTGGATATTTTTTTTAGCAACATGTTATTAATAAGTTTAATTTGCATCCTTAGGAAACATTTGCATCCTTCATTCCGTTGGTTATCCTCAAATAAATCCTCGAAAGTAATTACCATCCATGCAATCACAACATACGAAAAATAGTCAAAAAGGAATTTCAGAAAGTGCATTCCTTTATTTAAATTATAAGACCTTTGCATATATATCTTAATATTTGTGAACCTGCTTTTATGATGTTTTTTAATTCTTCATACAAATATAGTTGACTATTAATGATAAAATGACTTGCATAAATAAAGATATTTAATTTTTATATACAATATAACTGGAACTTTATTCGGTTTCTGAATCATCTATAATCTTATTTACGTCTTCATTATACTCCACAAAAATTCTTTTACCATATTCTAAATATATAAAATCATAATTCATTAATAAAATTTAAAATTGATATGAACGAAAATAAATGATTACCTGGTATGGAGACAACCAAATATTTAATAGCCCAAGTTCCTTTATCATTCTAAATTAACAACACAAAATAAATAAAATCGTTCAATAAAAAACCTTTTCAATAAAACCTTTTAAACTTACCTTAATCATATCAAGCAAAGCTATACCATGTGTTATAGTACCTTCAAGGTAAATTTGCATGAATTTATGTGGTGTTCCATCAGTATTAATTACTTCTTGAAATCTTTATAAAAGTTAAATTAAAAGTTCAGTCATGCCATTTTGACAAATAAAAATGTTTATAGTTTTAGAGATGCAGATAAATGTAACTTTACCGAACCAAACGATTACGTCGCCTTCTGCTTGAACTTGGAGCTCCATGACCTTTTATTGGCAAACCTAAAATTTTTTGACACTAGAATTCGAATAGTGTGAAAAGAAACCCTTTTGTTGATATATCTGATCAGATCGATTTTTGAATTTTTACCTCAGAATTTGATCGAATTTTCTCTAAAGTCTCATTAAAGACTCTAGTTGAACCTGATGAACTAAATAATTCCTTTAAAATAAAATATATGATTACTCCTTGAAATGGTTCGAAAAATTTGTGTTAATCACAATTCTCATTTTATCGAAGAAATATCTTATTAAAAATTTTACATACCACAAACACCAATTCCAATAGCTATTACACCGACGTTTGTTGTAACTTTAGCTGCTCCAACAACTTTATTTCATTTAAACAAGGTAAAAATAAATATCCATTCTAGAGGTAAATAAAAAAAATAAAAGATATATAAATACCCTTTTGACCTATAGTCATTTCACTCCATTCTTTAGTCTTTTTCCTTTCAATTATACTTTTAGATCCTGTATTATTCCTACGCGAGGGATTTGTATTCAATGTACTACTACTAGTATTATATTTTCTTTTATTTAAAAAAGATTTTTCGGCATTATTTTTATTCGATAAATTAGGATTTAATTTAGTACTAGTCGTTACAAAAGGTTTCCTTATTATTAAAATGGATTTGTTCTGAAATGAATGCAAACGTCTAATTCCAAACGGTCGTATTGAATGTGTGATTTGAAGACGTAAAATATTAAAATTCATTGTCATTTCATTGCGGAAGACTGACTTGAAATTTTTTATCTAAATATTTGATGTGATTAACCAATCATCAATCAAAGTCATTCTAATATAAAAAAAAACCAAGAACCTTTTCTTCCGTCAAGCCTTATTTATTTATGAATATGACTGATAATCAAATTTTTAAAGAATTTGAAAATTATGATTTTGAAAATGACGCTACTTTTCAGGTAATGATTAATCAAAATTTCTCTCGATGATTTTTAAAAATAAGGAGGTAATTGCCTTTTATTTACAATAATTTCAGTCAGGTTTACCTTCAATTCTTAATTCATATCAAGGCAAGCCAAAAGAAGAAATAAATATTCTCCAAGAAAAGGCTAAGTGGTTTTATTATTCAAAGTAAGGTAATTTTTAAAGGTGTATATAATTAAGGTGTTAATTATATTTATTGAGCCGAGTTAAATTTGTTGTTTTAGAGTTATTCAAGAATTTGATTACAATGATTATTTAGTGTGGAAAACGAATATAAACAAATCCCATCTTGAAGGTAACCAAAGTAATATTTCGTCATCTTCTGTCATGTTACCAACCGATTCCCAAGAGAGTTCAACAAAGGATGATAACATAAGTGCGCGACCTGAGCAAGCTACAACGGGTAAGCAAAACTAATCTTACCGTTTATTTTCTTGATCGCATATTCGCTCATATTACGTGTGTTTAATTAATAGACAACGTGCAATATCCGCAATCATTCCAAAAAGTGGTTGAAATGTTAGCTACGGGACAACAGATACCAGGTAACAACAACTCCTCCTCTGTTGTAAAAATCTATAATCAAAATTTAATAATGGTTTTTTGATGGAATTATATAGGAATCAAGCAAATTCCTAATGAGTTAAACAAGGGAACCCCATCGAATCCCACTATCAAACCACGTCCAAAACCATGGGAGAAAAATCATATGAATAATGAGTCTAAATAATTCATCCGTATATATTTAGAACTTTATTTTTTATTTTTATTTATATATATATATATATATATATATTCCTACAAGTCCTTTGATAATCTTTCTTGATCCATCAAATACACCCCATTGACGTTTGTTTTAGATTCCACTAGTATCCATTTTATCATTTCTAAATCAAATCCATATTCTGCTATCATACTCTTTGCTGTCTCATTCTCTTCTAAATTATTTGACAATGTCATTGTTTCTTCGAAATTGTCATCTACTTTCTCCAAGTAGTCTATTAAGTATTCAATTTCTCGTTTCTCTTGCGTAAAACGCGAATTAATATAACTCACTGAAGTTGCCCACGGCGTTATTAACATTAATTCATAAGCGCGTTTAATGCAAATTAGGGCAAGTTTTGTTATAATTGTGCTTTGAAAAATTCCTTGAGTTGTTATTTTCATAATATCTGTTGTGAAATCATCTTTGGATTGTGCAAAATGGTAATAACAGTAAAGAAATGTATGACTCATTTCCTTCCATATTTTATAATCATTATTTCGAATTTGTAAATATTTTATATAATAATGTATTGAATCTATAAAAATTCGAAATAGAATTAACATTAAAATTTATAATTATTAAAAATAAATTTAATAGGCCGTACCTGCATAACGGCCTCCTTTTGCATAAATCATCCCTCTTAACCGCATATGCCCTGGTTCATTCGATACCTAACATGTAAACACACATATCATTATAATAGAGTATAATTTGATTAAGATAAAAAACTTTCTCTAAGCCACTTGCCAATTTGTCAATGAATTTAACGGCTAATTTGACATTTTTTAATTGTAATGCACTTCTTGAAGCTATCTCCAATATTTCACGAGGGTTATTTAATCGATTTGGATTATGAATTTTAATTTCTTTTTGATCTGAAAGTTTATTACTTTGTTCAACAAATTCAATGTATTCAAGTGATAAACGTAAAGATTCTTCAAATTTTCGATGAAAATAAAGATGTTCAATCGATTGTTTTACTTGAGTAGGACCTCCTTTTGAGCGAAGGAGTATAGGTATTGACGTAGTTGTATGGAACCACTATATATAATGGTAATGAGTTAGAATAGTTCCAAAGTAGGTATTTAAATAGAAATAATTATATACTCCATCGTAATCATGCTTAGGTATATATTTGAGGTTTGCATTTTGTAACGCTTGATCTTTCTGAGGCGTAACCTTTTCTGTTTTCTTCGTATCTTGTTCTTCAAAGTCGAAATTAAAAAAGTCTGAAAACGGGTCATTGTTAGCATCCATTTTTTTGATGATTTGATGATAAAAATTGCAGATGTTTTTTTTCCATATATGTTATTGCTAAATATGGAAATTGTAATTAGATTGTAGTAGTACAATAAAAGAAATAAAAGAGAAGAGAAATTATATAATTATGGATGATCGACATTTGATACCTGTCCTAAATTTTGATATATATATTTTGATGGATAGTTTTTTTGTTTCGTCTCCAGCAAAGTTCGCTTTAACTAGCACACCTGAATCCGAACAGGATGCACGTATCCCTAGAAGAACACAAACACCAATTCTTGAATCTTATCCAAATAACTTAGCACAATCTACTGCACTTTACGGTTCTGATTCAAATTTATCTCTTCGTATCACGGCTGGACCCGCAGAATCTCCACCTACCACGCAAAACGTTGCGGGTGATCCCTTAAATTTGGGTCCAATACGGAAAACAGAGGAGGAAATTCGACAGACCTCCAAAAGAATCCGAAGTTTCTATAGAGATCAAAATAAAACTATTGATAGTTATCTAAGCCCAATTGATAATATACAAAGCTCCAAAGATACGTTGAACAACTTGCTAAGAGTAAATATTTATCTTTTACTTTGAAATTTGCCAATATTATTATTTATATCAACATAAATTTTTTTTTTTTTGCAATTATAAAGCTTAAAATTGCTGTCAATGGTTCTTTAGCAGCTAATATAATTTTATTTGGACTTCAAGTATATGCTGCCATTTCTTCAGGTTCCCTGTCACTATTTGCAACTATGGCCGATTCTTTTATGGATTTATTGTCGAATAGTATTTTATTATTTGCTGGTAGAATAGCTAATGGCAAAAACATTTTACAATATCCAACTGTATGCGAGTTTTACATATAAGTATGATATATATATATTTTTTTTTCCTTAAAAGCAATAAAACTGAACTATGATTGTTTAATTTTAATTTTTAGGGAAAATCGCGAATGGAAACTGCTGGAATCATAGTATTTTCTTCACTCATGTGTACGGTTTCTATTGAATTAATTGTAAGTTATTAATACTATTTGATTAATAATGTTTATTAGTCAGTTAACATACAAATGCATGTCAATAGATAGAAGCCATTAAAGCACTCATTGGACATGAACGCAAACTAGATATTAATCCGTTAGCTTTTGCCTGTATTGCTGTTGCATTAGGTATACATATGATATTTTAATAGTCACATCTTCAACTCTCTATCATAGCTATAATATTCACATTTCTTTCTGACAATTTCATAGGCACAAAGTTTATACTTTTTATCTATTGTTTCTTTCAACGTAACTTTCCTATTGCTCGAATTCTTGGTCAAGATCATCGAAATGATTTAATGATTAATTCTTTTGGTTTGACTATGTCATTATTGTCTGGATATTTAACTTGGTGGATAGATCCTATTGGCGCTATTATTATAGCATTATTGATTCTCAGGAGCTGGACAACCACCGCTTATGGTAATCAAATTTGTGTTATTAAAGATAAAAATTATGGTAATTTCTCGTTAACATAAAAGATTTCAATTTATTAGAGCAAATTCAATTAATTGTTGGAAAAAGTGCAGAACCTGAATTTTTAAACCGTGCAACTTATATTGGTGAGAATCTCAAGCCTTTTTTATTTCCTCTTTTACATCGCACTTCAATCATTTAAACTTCAGCATACTTAATTTCTGACAATAGCATTAACGCATCATCCAAAAGTTCTTCAAGTTGATACCTGTCGAGCTTATCATGCTGGAAATAATCTTTTTGTAGAAGTTGATATCGTTATGGATCGTGAAACCCCACTTTGGGAAAGTCATGATATCGGTGAAAGTCTTCAAATTAAATTAGAAAAACTAATAAATGTTGAAAGAGCATTTGTGCATGTAGATTATGAGACAAGTCACAAACCAGAGCACCATAAAGAAGAATAGCTTACTGTAATATATTCATTTTTAATTATGTAAATAATTTTTTTTTTAAAGTAATGAAATATCTTTATTTTATTTCGTGTCTTTAAACCTATTTGTCACCTTATTTGTCAAATGTATAATTTCGGGCGTAGGTGAAAAAACGTGTAATACTGAAGCATTCTTAGGGGGTGTAGACCTTTATCCTAAACCGGGGGTGTATGATAAGATCTGATATATTAAAAAGAGTATTTTTTTTTTTATTTTCTTATTTTTTTACAGCTTACTTCTTTTACTATTCCATTTGCTGTCTGTAAATTTCAATTAGAAAAGTGTTATTTCTTTTTTTACAGTTTTTTTTATTTTATTTATTTTTATTCTGTGATTAAACCAATTTTTAAATACAAAATATACCAAAATATTTTTTATTGTAAAAATGTGATAAAGAAATAAATTTTGTTAAGATAGTTTATTGTTATGACAATTGTTTTATTGTTATAGATGCTTACAACTGTTATATTCTAATAGTAAAAGAAATAGTAAAATGTAAATTATGTATATAATAAGTTGTTTTTGTTCAATAAATAATCATTTTAACAAAATAATGAATCATGTTTTATTTAATAATAAATCTTCTAAAATGAAAATAAGATTGCGAGAAATATTTTTTTTCATACTTTTCCTTTAAAACATTGCACTAAATACTGCAAAATTTGTTTTTAAGTTGAATATTTCTTTATTTTATTTTTCTTTGAAAATATCACGAAAATTCTAAAATATGTTATACAAATAAATTAGGCTAATAAAACTCACCAAAGTTTAATTATACACTTTAGTTTAAGATAAAAGTCTGCATTCCTACCTTAGGTTAAGGATGCCTATAATACTAAGATAAATTCTGAGATAAACACATCACATAATTTTGATAATTCACTAGAAAAATCATATAATCACTATATTTTTTTTAAAAATTGTCACAATTCAAATCAAAATAATATTACATGATTATTCAATGTAATACTATTCAGAAAATCAAAAAAATTTTTGAAAAATAATTAGTAAATATCATTTTAAACTCATTAACTATTTTTAAACTCATTAAATTTGAAAGTTAAATAATTTTACAAATATAGGCTGTTTATAATAAAAAGAGAAGAAACTACCAAAAAAATTTTTTTTTGAATTAATGTTAAATCTGAACTTATTTTATTAAAAAAAATAATATTTAGCTTATAAAATAAAAAAAATTTTTTTTGGTAGTTTCCTTCCTTTCTATTATAAAGAGCCTATATAGTAATAATTACTAAATAATAGTTAAATGTTTTTTTGATAAATATTTAGATATAAAATATTGCTATAAAGCTTTATTTTATTATTAAATTCTAAATATTTTATAAAATAATTTTGAAATTATTAACAAATTTTTTCATAACAATAAAATAATATAATTGTTTCTTATAGTATATAAAAATTGTATAATGTATTCTTTTAATTGTTTTGCTTACAAATTTGCAGATAATTTTATTTATTAATTAAATATTTTAAATATATTATTAAAAAATTTAACATTTTTATGATAAATTATGATATTTTCTAAGTAAAAATTAAAAAAAAAATGTAGTTAACTAGATATTTTTTAAAGATAAATAAATAATAAATTATTATAAAAAAAAATTAAATTATATTTTACTATATAACAATCTCAAAATATAAAAATAATACCATTTAATATGTCTTATAATAATCAAAATAATTCAAATCAGCTAAAAATCAAATGACTAATTTTAGTTTAATTTTAATACTATTTACAGTCAATTTATTATATTTTCTAATTAACACAAATACCTGCCAATTGACACTAATCAATTCTAATTAAATATACCTATTCAGCATTAATTCAGAATTTAAACAAACATAAATTAGCCTAAAATTAGCATCAATTTAACATTAATTTATAATTAAATAACTATAAATCAACTTAAAATTAATCTTAATTTAGTATTAATTTGGTTAAATAAGCATATAAAATTGATATATTTTATTTATTAAATTTATTAAATATTAAAATTTTATTAATAATAAAACCTAATAAAATATAACAAAAATATTACCAAAACTTACTGATTAATTTTTATTTAAAAAATAAACAGAAAAATTATGTAAAATAATAATTTAATAATAAAAATATAATTTATTTTCCTTCTAAAATTCCCTTAAATCATTTTAAATATTCATTATTATAATATTACTATTGTTAAAAAATAATAAAATAATAAAATATAATCTATTTTCCTTTAAAAATTTTTCAAAATCGTCTAAAAATGTAAAAAATAATAAATAAATAATAAAAAAATAAAAAATCTACTCTTTCTTAGAGTTCTGAATGAGTCGAGTTGAGTTAAATTTAAAGATCAACTCTATTCGACTCTCTTTTTTCAAGTTGAGTTAAGTCAAATTTATTTTATAAAATCTTTCAATTTGATTTGATTTGAGTTATATAAATTTTAAACTTGACTCAATTTAACTTGACTTGATTTTAACTCAATTTGACTTTAAAAAAAAATAATAAAAAAAATGAAAAAATCGGGAGGGGGAGAAGAAGAAGGAGAAAAAAAAGTGCAAACAATTTGTTATCGTTCAAATCGAATGATTCAGATCATCATTCAAGTCGAACGATTCATCATCGTTCTTCTTGAACGATAAAAAAAATCATTCAAGTTGGATGATTCATTATCGTTCTTCTTAAATAAAAAAAATTATACAAGTCGAATGATTTGTTATTATTCTTTTTGAACGATAAAAAAAATCGTTTAAGTCAAACAATTTGTCATCGTTCTTTTTGAACGATAAAAAAAATCATTCAAGTCGAATGATTTATTATTGTTCTTCTTAAATGATAAAAAAAATTGTTCAAGTTGAACGATTCATTATTATTCTTCTTGAACAATAAAAAAAATTGTTCAAGTTGAACAATTTGTTATTGTTCTTCTTGAACGATAAAAAATCATTCAAGTTGAATGATTCATCATCATTCTTCTTGAATGATAAAAAAATGTTCAAGTTGAACGATTCGTCATCATTCTTCTTGAACGAT